CTGGTCCCAGATGAGCAAACTCTTTTTCCTTGCACAGTCCACCAGGTTGTAAATTCCAAATTTCCTTTATCCATTTTCTACATCCACTTTCATCTATCTCCAGCCTTGTGGATGCATATGGACAACAATTCGTTTTGGAAATTTCTCCTTTGGCAAAGTTTTTCCTCTTAAAAACAGCCGTCGGTTTTAACTTAATGCCACTAGCCGTATAAGAAAGAACTAAGGGGAACCCACTTTTCTCATGGCTAGTGGTTTTCACCCATACTGTTTTTTTTCCCACCTTTTGGTTCACAGTTCAATTCTCCGTCATGTCGAGAGTAACAGGCGTTTCATCCACGTTTCCAATGCATAACTTGTTTTTTTTTTCAGATTACAAACTGGTGAAACTGTAATGTCTTCTGTTCGAGTTCAGCAGGCAGCTTTTGCACAGTCTCCGTTCTCTGCCAAAGTACTGAGTCATGCATTCTCATAAGCCTTGTGCAGCATCCAGCACTTGCCTTAAAATCCAAAATTCCATCCTTCTTTGATTTGTTTTGTGCATGGATTCGGATGGCTTCATGACTAACACATCTTTGATGATTTTCAAGTACCCACTCGGCAACTGTTTTCTCCAAATGTGGCCACTTGTAAGGTTTACCTCTGTTGGTACACTTTCGTTTTGGTGTTGTCTTTAGGAGGAGGCAATGGCCTAGTGGTATTATTGTTGAACTGTTAATCCAGAGACCCAGATAGCGTTCTAGGGACCCAGGTTGAAATCCCACCACATCAGATGGTGGAATTTGAATTCAATAAACCTATCTGGAATTAAGAGTCTAATGATGACCACTAATCCATTGTCGATTGTCAGGAAAAACCCATCTAATTCACTAATGTCCTTTAGGAAAGGAAACTGCCATCCTTACCTGGTTTGGCCTACATGTGACTCCAGACCCGCAGCAATGTCGTTGACTCTGAACTGCCCTCTGGGCAATTAGGGATGGGCAATGAATGCTGCCTAGCCAATGACACCCTCATCCCGTGAATGAATAAAGAAAAAAAAGTTAGTTTGATATCTTCCTCCAGCCTGTCAAGGTTCTCCGAAACACACAATTCTCTTGTTACAGTTATTTGCCTTCTCTGCAACTTCAATAACTTTCATTTTAAACACTGATATTTTTGCTAGAGGGCATTTTTACACAAAATGATGAACACATTTCAAAACCTCAACTAGGTATATGGCTGTGTTTCTCGAGTGCCTGACTGTGACCTGATGCCTCTTAAACATTCACGCCAAATTCTTCCGTTTTCTCTCCTCTACTATTGTTTTAGTTTGACTCTCATACAGTCTCGCCGATCATTTCCTCATTGTAACATCTACTGGTATTTACTGGATAACCCTCAAATGTTGTTCTGTTTTCTGTGAAGAAATAAGGTCGACTTTTACATGAGATGCATGGAAAATGCCCAAAAATAGGGGGTTGACTTTTTTACTGGAGTATATATGGTATTTTGAAACAGTGACCCCTAATTTTGATTCTCTCTCGAGGAAACAACCTTTTACCAGCACCCTGTCAAGACACCCTCAGCTCTTGTATACTTCAATTAAGTTAGTTCTTACCCTTCTAAACACCAATGAGTGCAAGCTGACCCTCTTAAATCCTTCCTTATAAGACAGCCACTTATTTCACATATTAGTCTAGTAAAGCTTCTCTGAACTGCTCCCGATCTATTTACATGCTTGCTTAAGGTGACCAATACTGTGCGCAATACTCCAGATGTGGTCTTGCCAGTGCCCTGTATAAATTAAGTACAAACTCCCTCCTTTTCTATTCAATTCCCCTCAAGTAATGATAACACTCTCTCTATTAGCTTTCCCAAGTATGTGCTGTACCTGCCTTTTGAGATTAACATAGAAACATAGAGGATAGGAGCAGGAGGAAGCCATTCAGTCCTTCGAGCCTACTCTGTCATTCTTCACGATCATGACTGAACATTTAACTCAATAGCCTAATCCTGCTAACTCCCCATAACCTTTGATCCCATTCACCCCAAGTGCTATATCTCGTCGCCTGAATATATTCTGAAAAAAAACTTAAGTGAGAAAGCAGTTAAGCACATTGTTAAAGAAATTAAAACTTTTCTCATATAGTCATGCTTTAGCAGCTGTTGGTCATTTGTAACTAATTTTGAGGAAAATACTTAAAAGGCCCAAAGTTTTTGACAGATTTTACTTTTTTTCCCTTCACCACAATCATTCTGAAATCGAACACATCAGTGTAAAAGATCAAGGAATATTGAGCACAAATTACAGCTGGAATGCACAGAATTTCCACAGTCTTTTCTAGTGGTCTTCAAAATATAATACGGGAGCTGATCCCACAGAAAAATTTGGATATGTCGCATATCAAATCTGGATGAATTTCTGCCAATTATGCCTAGTTGAGGCCTCCAAGAAGGCTCCTGAAATAAGGGCTGTGGGGCTAGAGGAACTTACAGAAGTAGGGACTGGTCAGATCATGGAGTAATTTTGAAAATCAGGATGTGGGTTTTAAAATCAAGTGTTAACTGGGAAAAACTGTATGTACGTGAGTTGGGTGAACAGCATTTGTGTGAACCAGGACACAGCAATAGTGGTTTGGATGACCTCCAGTTTTAAGGAGGGGTGATGTGGGAAAGTGGCCAGGAAAGGTGCGGGTGCAGATTTCAGCCACAGATGCATTGAGGCAAGGATATACAGTCAGGTGATGTTACAAACATAAAATAGGCAGTCCTGGTGATGCCGTGCATAAGTAGTTGAAAGAGTGTCTGTCTAAAATATGATTCAGGGTTGCGAGAAAGCTGGTTCAGCCTCAGCAACAACTACCAGGAAGGGGAATGGAATCACTGGTGAAGGAACTGGGTTTGTGGTGAGGACTGAAGATAACAGCTGTAGTCTTCCCTGTCTGAACTTAATTTTTGGCTAAGATTAAGTCTCTATAAAGCCTTCATTTACTTTGTGGTACTGGCATTATCATGTGTTTTTGTATTGATTATCTTACAAACAGTCGCAACTAATGGACAAGAAACTTCCTACTTCCCACCCGACAGCCTTGTATTGGCTAGGATAGATGAGCCAAAAAGACAGATTTACTAGACTGGTTCCAGGGATGAGGGATTACCTAGTTACATTGGAGAAGTTAGCTTTTTTTTTGCATTTGAGCAGAAACAACTAAGATTTGTAGAGGTATAAACCCCTGATTGGTTTAAAAGAGATTTCTGATGAAGGGTCTAGGCCCGAAACGTCAGCCTCTCTGCTCCTATGATGCTGCTTGGCCTACTATCTCTTAAGTAAAGAGAAATTGCTTCTAAAGGCGTGAAGGGTTGCTAATCGAAAGACACAGTTTTAAAGTGATTTGCAAAATGGCCACAGATGATACGAGAAATAGGAGAAGCCTAAGAATTGATCTGAAGGTAACCAGAGGTAATGGAAAGAAAACCAATCATCGCGATTCTGTGGCTACGATTAGCTACAAAGGAATGGAACCAGGCAAGTGCATCACCACCCAGCTGGATTTGAGTGGATAGGTGTTCCAGGAGGAAGGGACGAAAAGACCAGGATGAGGAATAACAAAAACAGAAATTGCTAGAAAAACTCAGTATGTCTGGCAACATCTATAGAGAGAAAGCAGAGTTAAGGGCTACCAGACCCCTAACTCTGCTTTCTCTCCACACGTGCTGCCAAACCAGTTGAATTTTTTTTTTCAGAATTTCTGTTTCTTCTTTCCAGCATCCACAGTTCTTTTGTCTTTTTTTTTGTACAGAAGGAGAGATAGTTTGTCCTTGTCAGAGTCATGTTGGATGCCATTGACTATCACAAGACATGTTTGGGTTCTGTGGAGCAGTGAAACTGATTGGAAAATTTTAAACTTGGAGGCAACACTGTGTTTGGTGACTCCAGAGAAGAAAGAGGTTATAGATGGGGCAGAGGCCTGTAAGGACGAAGGGTTCAAGTGTTAACAATACACATTTCTGCTCTTCCATTAAAAACTAATGGTAGGTCTTGTTACCTGTTACTCTTTCACTTTGGTTATGCAGAATCTTAAGTCAGATATTTTGGAAGGAACTGATGGCTTCTCACAGCTTTCTGTTTTTCCTCCAGACTGACGAGCAGTTGCTATCTCAAGGAAAGAAAGCTGATCATTGTTATGCAAGGCTGAGAGAGTGGACTAAAATTGACTCTTGTTACATCTTGCTAAGCTAGAGATAACATTGTTCTTGTTGATTTGAAAACCTGTTTGGATTTCTCCTACCCTATTTATGCAAACAGTTATAAAATCTCAAGTATTTCTTTAATTAAAAGTTCAATTTTGCTACATTATGGTTGTTGGAATTTTGGATTTAACTTGAATGAGCAGTGAAATTCATATTAAAATATCATCACCTCTAAAAGTTTTTTTTTAATAAATTGTATCTGCCTGCTACTCTTCAGTCATTTACAAGGATCTTTTGACATTTTGTTTCAGTATTTTGATAGCATTCTTCCATGGTGGGATTGTCATCTCTTTTCTGATGCTTCCTGAACTCCTGCTTTGTACATAGAATTTCCAATACTTACTTGAATTATACAGAATCCCATTGATTTGATAAGAGGCTTAAGAGCTTCGCAACTGCGTGTGCAGCAGGTGAGTTCACGCATTTTGTCTTGGTGGGCCATAGAGAGGCATATTATGGAAATTTGTGAGCCACACATCCAATGTAAGTGTTCAAAATTACATGCTAGTGTTCTGACTTAGAACTGTAATCTCAGTGAATCTTGAGGATTGCCTTTACCAAGTCTTGAGGTCTCAAAATTTAAACTGGAAAGCCTGCAAATAAACAAGTGCAAAATGAGTTGACTCCTTGAATATTAGCAGCTGGTTAGCTTAGGTTCCAAGACCACTAGGGGCACAACCTGGGGTTCCAATGTCCTTTGTTCTACATTATCTCTCATTCTGTTTTTTGAAAGCATAGGTTATTAATATTTTTATCTTTTTATCCTTTAGCCTGGAAGAGATATCAACAACCATCTGCTAAATGTTGGAGGCAATGGACGTGCTGCGAATAAATTTCAGCCTGTTGTCCCTTGGCCTCAGGTTGAGGGGGTAGAAGTGGACCTAGAATCTATTCGACTGAAAAATAAAAATGCAGCACAACAGCATGTTGCTGACAACAACCAACAAAATGCAATACAGAAACAATATGTTACTTTTAAACCCCAGAAACATGCTTATTCTGATCCAGTGTTGAGAAGTGGTGTTCTAGGGAACTTTGAACCCAAAGAGCCAGAACCTCACGGTGTCGTCAATGGTCCTGGAGAAGGCGCAAAACCTTTTATATTGGGACCTGAATATAAAGAAGCTGTGCAAGCAAGTATCAAGGAATTTGGTTTCAACATGGTGGCCAGTGATATGATCTCGCTGGATCGGACAGTCAATGATCTGAGGCATGAAGAGTAAGTGTATGGATGTGAGATTATATTACTCGGTATAAACAGAATTGAGAGTTTGTGTTTGCAACTTCCTATTGCATTTTCGCAATGTTATTCCCTGTGTGGGTTATGGTTCCACAGAGGACAGCACCCCACAGCAATTACGTGGTGCAGCCAGTATTTTCAGGTTGAAGGTTGGACTTCTATTCCTCTCTTGGCGGGGGAAGTCTCACCTCTGGAGTTGAGCTCCAATAATCTCTGGCAGCTAGAGCACAGTAGAGAACACTGCTAAGACTAGAGCCAGGTCCATGAAGAAGACAACATTGGATCCCAGAATGAGGTGAATCAGGAGGGTGTTTGGTGAGAATTTGCCTATCCTAGAGTCTATATAATTCCAGTGAGTAGAAGGGAAGTGAAGGATACTGTTTTCTGGGAATGCTTGTCATGGACAAAAGAAAATTTCCAAAGTGAGTACGGTACCCCTCTCCATTTTTTTTCCCTCTGATTTTAAAACCATTTTTTTAAAAAATCAGGCTGCGCATTTCTGCCTGACTGCCCATGCCAACTATGCTGTAGCATGGACAGGGTAATATTGAGGTTGACTGAACTTTTTGACGGGCTGAATTGATCCCTAACTGTTAACTTAGATATGGTGGATGAGCTGCTGATTTTAGCACCTGCTCACCTTCCATATTATGGGAACGAATTTGAGTGGTGGTTGGAAGGTGTGGGCTAGCCACCTAACCCTAACCCTATTTTGTGTGCCACCCATGCTGAAAGCACCCATTGAACATAATATCCAGCCCACTGTTTGCCCTGCTGCTTATCAAAACCCACCCTTGAACCCTCAATCGATTCTGCTAAACCTACTCGTATGTACAACTTCCTTGAAAATGTTCTTGTCTTCTCCCAAAACCTTGGCGCGCTCTCTAGCAATTCCAAGTTTGAATATCCTTCAATAAGATCTCTGACCCTGCCACAGACCAGAACAGCCCTAATCAAAGTCAAAAATGATATTTTCTGTAACTGTGAGCTCCTTGACCTCTCTGCAATCTTTGGCCTGGCTGAACGCATAGTCCCAATAGCCATATTAAACTCCTCTTACAAACATTCAATGTTTTGGCCTCAACCTGATTTCTAAGGCAGGCAATTCCACAGGCTCACCACTCTCTGGTTGAACACAGTTTGGCAGAAACACCAAGGGTGCAGAATGTTCTCTGGGTTGGGAACTTTACTGTGTCCATAACCAAGAATGGTTTGGCAGCACCCCTACTGACCAAGCTGGCCAAGTCCTAAAGGATACAGCTGCTAGACTGGGTCTATGGTAGGTGATGAAGGAACCAACAAGGGGGAAAAACATACTTGACCTTTTCTTCTCCAACCTGTCCACTACAGATATCCAAGATAATATTGTTTTTAAAATGTTTTTGAGATTTGTCTTTACTGCAGAAACTGGTGACTAATCCTGAATGGGCAGACCCATTGTCTGAAGGGTCTTTGATGTCATTGAGCCAGTGTTCCACAGGCCCAGATTAATATTTTGGGAGGACAGAGTCAAATTCCCACAATCGCAGTTCCTGAAATTTAAACTCAGTTGGTAAATCTGGAATAAAAAGTACAAGTATCAGTAATCATTAATTGTCATTAAAACCCATATGGTTCATAGTTTTGAGAAAGGGTCACTGGACCCAAAACGTTAAGTCTGATTTTTCTTCTCAGATGCTGCCAGACCTGCTGAGCTTTTCTAGCAACTTCTGTTTTTGTTCCTGGTTCACTAATGCCCTTTAGAAAAAGAAATTTGCTGTCCCAACATGGTCTGACCTAAATATGACACTAGCATCACACTACTATGGTTGACTCTTAATTACCCCTCTGAAAATGACCTTGCAAGCTATTTTAGTGCTGAATTTTAAAACAAAAAAGGCTCCCCCGAATTTAGTAGTAGGTCCAACACGCAAATACGTTGGACATAAATCAGCCCGTTGTCAATTGACATGCTTGTTGCAATCCATGACAATTTCTAGCCTTTGTCAGAACCAGACCTGCTGCTGGACATCTTTTTTCCACTGGTGCCCTCTTTTGGTATAGTGCAGGATTGCATGTAGGCACTAGGAAATTGATAATTTTTAGATATCAACCTGATTGGATATGTTGTGACACCCCTCCAGCATAGGTGGGAATTGAACCTGGACCTTCTGACCTAGAAATAGGGACGCTGCCGCTGTGCCACATATGGGCATTAATTGGTATTCTAACAAAGTAATGAACTGTGTGCTTTAGCATTAATTCATGCAAAGCAGCTTAAAACAGGGCTTGTTCGATGTGCACTGAAAACAATAAATGCTGGAGATCACAGCGGGTCAGGCAGCATCCACGGAGAGCAAGCTAACGTTTTGAGTCTAGATGACTCTTTATCGGAGCTGAAGTGAAATGTGAAGGGGACAGCATTTATGCTATAGTTGCAGGGGAGGGGGAGGTGAGGTGGTGGAGAGTAGGTTGTAGAATGCTTGGGGAGAAAATATGTTGATAGTTGAGATTAAGTGATCAGAATGTGAGAATGGCAGAACAATGATGTGTCTAATGGCCAGACTTGAAAGAAAAGACAGTCCCACTGGGGAGGGGAGAGAGGACATCGTGACAGAGAAAGTAACAAGTAAAGCTAAAAGAAAGGGAAGGAATGGGAGTTGGTTCACAATTTGAAGTTGTTGTATTCAATATTAAGTCCAGAAGGCTGTAAAGTGCCTCATCCGAAGATGAGATGTTGTTCCTCCAGTTGGCGCTGTGATTTACTGGAGCACTACAGCATGCTGAGGACGGACAAGTGGATGTACAAGCAGGACACTGTGTTAAAATGACTGGCTTGTGCAAAGAAGGCATTCTGCAAAGCGGTTGCCCAGTCTGCATTTGGTTTCTCCAATGTAGAGTAGGCCACATTAGATGCAGCGAATACAATACACAAGATTGGAAGAGGTACAGGTGAAATGCTGTTTCTCCTGGAAAGACTGTTTAGGCCTTTGAATGGTGAGCAAGGGGAAGATGAAGGGACAGGTGTTCTAACCTTCTGCGGTTAAATGGGAAGGTGCCTTGGGAAGCGGGTGTTGGTGTTAGTGGTCATGGAATGGACTAGGGTGTCCTGGAGGGAACGATCCCTGAGAAACGCACACGGGAGTGAGGGAAGATGTGTTTAGTGCCGGTGTTCTGCTGGAGTTGTCTGAAATGGCAGAGAATGATCCTTTGAATGCAGAAGCTGCTGGGATAAAAAGTGAAGACCAGGGGCACCCAATCACACTGTTGTGAGTGATGGGAAGGGTCAAGGGCAGAAGTGCAGATGATAGGTTGGAATCGGTTGAGGCCACTGTCGACCACAATAGGTGGGAAATTATGGTTATGGAAGAAGCAAGCCATATCCACAAGGTGGTATCATCCGAACAGATGCAACATAGGCAAAGGAACTGGGAGAATGCGATGGAATCCTTGCAGAACGTGAGGTGTGAAAAGCTCCGGTGAAGGTAGATATTGGAGTTGGTGGGTTTGTATTGGATTGCAGCGGGCAGTTTATTCTCCGAAATGGAGACAGCGAGGTCAAGGAAAGGTAGGGAAGTGTCAGAAATAGAAGATGTCAAAGTAATAGAGGGGTGGAAATTGGAGGCAAAATGAAAAAAATTTTCAAGGTCCTGGCGGTAGCATGAAGTGGCACCGAAGGAGTCATCAATGTACCAAGAAAAGAGTTGTGGTAAGGGGCCAGTGTACGACTGGAACAAGGACTGTACCACATACCCCATGAAGAGGTAGGCATAACTGGGACCCATGTGGGTGCCCCTAGCCACTCCTTTGACTTGCAATAGTGAGATGAAGTAAAGGAGAAATTGTTCAGTGAGAGAACAAGTTCAGCTAGGCGGAGGAGAGTGGTGGTGAATGGGGAGTGTTCAGGCCTCTGGTTGAGGAAGAAGCCGAGAGCTCGCGGACCATCCTGGTGGGGGATGGAGGTATAGAGGAATTGGACATTCATAGTGAACAGGAGCCAGTTAGGGCCAGGAAACTGGAAATTGTGAATATGTAGGTGGAGAGTGGATGGAGTCATGGTAGGAAGAAATGAGCTTGGTGGGGCAAGAACAGGCTGATATGATGGGCCTACTGGGGCAGTCTGGTTTATGGATTTTGGGAAGGAAGTAGAAGCAGGCTGTCTGTGTTTGGATGACTATAAGATTGGAGGCAGTGGAGGGGGGAAGATCTCTGGAGATAATGAGGTGGACAAACAGGAAGCTGGAAACACACAGCAAGCCAGGCAGCATCTGGAGGAGGAGAAGTCAACATTTCGGATATTATCCTTCAGGACCGAAAAAGGGTAATACCCGAAACGTTGACTTTTTGTCCTCCAGATGTGCCTGGCTTGCTGTGTTTTTCCAGCCTCCTGTTTGTCTTACCTTGGATTTCACCATCTGCAGTTTTTTTGTCTCCGGAGGTAATGAGGTCGGTGACAGTCCTGGCAACAATGGCTTGATGTTTGGATGTAGCGTCGTAGTCTAGGGGGAGGTAGGAAGAAGTGTCCAAGGGTTGGCATTGAGCCTCTGCAAGGTAAAGATCAGCGCGCCAGACTACAACGGCACCGCTTTTGTTGGCGGGTTTGGATACTGGGTTGTTTACAAATCTTTATTGCACTTTCTGTTATTAATGCACTGTGGGCACACCTACCTCGTGTACTATAGCAGTTCAAAGGACAGCTTTCCATCATCTGCTCAAGGGCAATTAGCGATGGATAATAAACCCATTCTCATCCCAAGAACCATTAAAAGCAAGTAGTGTGTCCAGTTATAAGATAAAGGTTATATTGCGTGTAATAATTTTAATGCAACTGTAGTTGTTTTGTCTTGAGTTGAGGAGGAAATTGAGCAATTTATGAGCAAAGAGCATGTGGCTGTTGTATTGAAATCTGGTAATCCAATCAAAAGCAGTGGTGGGTTTGTCTTTAGTTTGCAGCCCTAATTTCTGGAATACCCTCCCTTTACCACTCCTCTAAGGCATTC